AGGTCTTTTCCACCCTTCATGACTCTGTGATTCTATGAAAACTCTTCAACACCCTGAATTGATCTCCATGAGGGCTGACTCTGACCCTCCATCTGAAAGTAGAACCCTGCTCCCTTATTGGAGAGGGAAAAAAAACCAGTGATTTCTGACACTGATGTCAACAGATTAAATCATTGCAGCTGCTGTGATGCGGCCAGTTTTCAACCAGTTATCTTCTTGACCCACGAGACTGAGTAACAGGCTGTGGGCATGAGAGAAGGCACACACACATAAGGCAAAGGGAAGGTGACATGGAACTGCTTCCTTTGTGTTCATGGCAGACAGGGAGGTGAGAACAGGGCTGCAGCTAATCGAGGGGCTGCAAACTACGTTCCATTCTGAGAATAAGAACCACCTCCCCAGACACGGTATCACAAACCACAGACCCACACACAGATGGATCTGGTTTGTTACGTGAAGAATCCAACCCCCTTTCCCAGACAGCTCCTCAGTGGCAATCTGCCAGCCTCTCCTTTAGCAGAAAGGAAAACAAAACCAACAGACAAATGTGTTGCCTCAACAGCAAAGACTAAAACCATCAATATGAGAACCAACCACTGCTCAGCCAAAAGCAAGACCCAGTCATCTTTCTTCAGCTCAGTGAAGGGTGTCCACATCTCACTGCCTGAGCAGTGGAAGATCCCAGGCTAAGAGAAGCTGATAACTCTTAAGTTAGTTTCTTAAGTGCACCAAATGGACTCGTTGCACGCTGTGGCCTGGTAGGAGGACATACCCCATAAAAGCAACATCTCAGACTGCCAGCAACTCATCAGGTTGAGGTCACGTCTCCACTCAAAGTCACTGGGAGCTTCTAAATTCTTTCTGTTGTACATTAGCACTGCCAGCACCTAGGCTACTTGAGGAAGTCTTTTCAGCAGCCTGAGAGTGCACGTTTTAAATCTAAATGTGAAAAGCCATCCCAAACTCCAGCATCAGAGACACAGCGAATCCATACCTCATCGTTCCAAGCAGCACCAATGTGGGACAAGCTACAAAGCAGACTTAATGCCCAATGAACCTATTCTGAAAATGAGCTCAGCCACACTCCTCTTCCTCTAGCAGAGGGCCTCCAGCTGAGCTCCTAGGGACAGACCTTATGACACTTGAAAACTTCCTTTCCAATGCCTTCTCTAGCTTTCTGACCTTTTATTCCTCTAACTGAAGCCACCACAGTGCAATAAATAGCAGAGAGCTTCCTAAGAACAGAAATGCCTGTGACACAGTTCAGTATTACAACACACCGGGCCCCAATGGGCTGACTTTAAACTACTAAATATGAGACATACAAGAGTGAGCTTTATATTTACAGCCACTGCCTGTCACTGAAGTCACAATTACAAAACCCCATTTCCACAGTGCCCAAGATAAAGAACTCTATCAGGAGAAGCAAAACAAGGCACAGGAGTGGCTGGGACATCAGTCAAGCTCTCCACAGCTCCCTGCTGCACTGACTCCACGCCACGTCTGTATTGCCACAGTGCTAACACAAACCATTCCTTACAGCCCAAAGAATTCCTGGAAAGTAAATGCAGAGAAAGAAGGAAAAAGAAAGAAAACACAAGGGTCACTCAGCCCAGCATTCATCCTTGTACAGATAACCCTTCATACTTTATTGCAATTACTGCAATCAGTGCAACACAAGTGAAGATCTTTTCCAAAACTCTTTTCAAATAGACCAATTCTGAAGTTAATAATGACAGAAAAGGATTTCAACAGTAAAAAACGATGGCTGAAATTTGGTTCCCAGCAGGAACGCTTGCTGCCCCTCCTTAAGAGCCCTGCAGTGGCCCCAGTTCAAATGTGATTCTTACAGGACTGGATTAATTAACTGCATTCAAGACCTTTCCCAGTGCTGCTTTACCTTCTGGATGGCTGCAGCTGCAATATTCATCCTTTAGCAAGGAAAAAACTATACATGGGCTCACACAGCAGGTTAATATCTTTACAGTGATTAAAAATTAATCTACACCAGCAGCAGAAGCCCAAACCTCGTTAGAAACGCTTTATTTATCGCCTTCCCATCATTCCAAATATGGTTTTAAAGGAACTCCACCAAGGACATCCTGGACCAGCTGTATTTTGGATCAAAGTAACACCCAACAGAGCGACCACGGGACCAGGTGGGATGCAACATTCACCACCAGGTCAGCGAGGCACCTCTTGGTGGAGTACGGCTGCTCCTAATGCCACCAGCAGGGTTTGCTGCTCTCACAATTCTTCCCCTCGAAGCAGTACAGACCAACAGGACAGCCTACAATACTAAGTGCCACAAAAAGAGCATGTTTTGGTGGGGAATAATGACCAGAATGCATATTTAGCATTCTAGTTCTAGCTTTGTCTCCCAGGCTTGCACAGGTGTGTCACAGTGCTCTGTAGTATAATCTACCCTGAACGACAAGTCCAAATTCAGGACTTAGAAACAGTCTAAGTTTCACAGATCCCAGCCTCTATTCACAAACACTACAGTTTCCCCTCTATAAAAGAATCTTTATGTTCACCACGGATACAAAGCTTCTAAAAAACAGTCTCAGTTCTCCTTCCAGTGCTCAAGTAACACTATGACTCCTCTTCCCCATGCAAACACCCAACAATCCTAAATTAATTTCCAGGTCCCTCCCTTTCCTCTTCATTGCACATCTTGTTTGGATCACAGCTCATGATGACTTAGAACACAGCACCCACTGGTTAGATCCCGAGTCCTACATTTTTTTCTCATGAGATAGATTAATGAAAACAGCCATGTGTCATCACCTGACCAAGGGTTCAGGCACAGGAACTCAGTGATTGGTGGCTCTCATCCTCACCTGTCTTCAGAATTGCTCGCTTTGAAGCCTGCCCACATTTCAGCACATTTCACCATATTTACCTCCATATTGCAGTAGAAAACTAACAAAAGTGAAATCCTTATATTGTTAATTCCATCTGTCTCGAAAGGCACAGACTCTTTGGTGCTGGCAAAGGACAAGAGGAGATGGGTTCAAACTGAAAGAGCTCTCCAGGTTAGATTGGAGACAGGAAGTTCTTTACACTAAGGTTGGTGAGGCAGTGGCTGCACAGAGAGCTGCTGCTGCCCCATCCCTGCAGACAGCCAAGGTCAGGGAACGGGGCTGATGGACTGATGGAGCTGTGGGTGTCTTTGCTCACTGGGACCAGATGGCCTCTAAGGGGCCCTTCCAATGGAAGCGATTCTAGGACCGAGGGCTAGGTTCCCAGGCAATCTCTATCGTGCCATAATTCTTTGTAATTCCAGGGTTTGAAGCGTCCAGACACAGCCAGCAAGGGGAAAAAAATACCATAATTCACATTGTAAGTGACACCCTGAATTTCTAACATTGATGTAACTGATCATAGCAAACTGCAGATAACAGAAATGTCTGAATGCCTCTGCATTACATGTACCACAACACGTAACTTCCCCACGAGTCAACCATTGCAATGCTGAACTGAAGGCACGGCCCTGGGAAGGCAGCAGTGCAGCGGGATGGCCAACACCAGACGGAATTGCAGGCAGGTACTCAAGGCACTCACCCATCTCTCCCTTTACTGACAATCTTCACTTCGAAGTAATAAATGCCACAAGCTGCAGGGATGGGATGCGTGGCCCTGACCGAGGCAGCATCTTTGTGATTCTTACCATGACCTGGGAAAGAAGAGAAGGGTCAGTGCTGGGACACCAGGATCTGCCGCGCGGATTGGGGGGCAGCTTCTCCTTCCATCTGAAAACGACTGGAGTGTTTTCATCGCACTGAAAGCAGCAGAGCAGCTCTGCCACCCTCCTTCCCGAGGAACCCCCGGCGCTGTCGCCGTTGGAAGGAACCCGGCGGGGCACACGGTGCCGCCATCGCAGAGCTGCCATCCCAGCGCCGCACAGCAGCGGCACGCAGCTCCATTACGCAAGAGGGCAATGACATCAGTGTTTACCGAGCGGGCAGGAAAGGGGCATCGCCGTGCCGTGCAGGGCAGGGAGCGCCTGGAAGGGCCGCATCGCCGCGATCCCCGAACCCGCAGCGCCGGGACGGCTCCTCATCCCGTAGCCCTCAGCCCCCCCCGCCCTCCCCGAGCCCCGCTCCCGCAGCCCGGCACCCCGCAACCTTTCCCCCTGGGGTAGCGGAGCCGGCCGGTCCCGTCCCGGCCGAGGGAACGCGAGCAGAGCCGCCGCGACCCGGCACCTTTGTAGTGGACGCGCAGGTTGCCCTGCGAGAGGCCGATGTAGTTGTACTTGTCCTTGGGGCTCCAGGAGCGCGGCAGCGGCGTCTCCTCCTGGTTGACGGCCGGGTAAAGGCGACGGAGGCGCCGGCTCAGCTCCTGCTCTTCGGGCGGTCCCGGAGCCGCCGCATCCCCCCCGTGCGGGCTCCCCGCGCCCGCCTCCGCCATCTTGGATTCGCTTTGTGTCACCGGGCGGGGAGCGAAGCCCGGCTCCGGCCGCCGGCCAATGGGCTACGAGCGTGCCCACAATGGGGCCGCGCTGCCCGACGGGAAGCGGAGTCCGACCCGCCGCCTCCCGCCCGCCGTATGCAGTCGCTGGGACTACACGTTCCGACAGGCCCCGCGCGCGAGGCCCCGCCCCCTCCCGCAGCGCGCCGTGCTGTGGGAAACGTGTCTCCTCTGCGCGAGGCCGAGCGGTGTCGGGCCGCGCTCAGGACTCCCGCTCCCAGAATGCCTCGGGGCAAGGTGGCGCCGAGGGGAGACCGAGAGGCCGCCGCGCCGCCGCCGGTGTCCGCCGCGCCGCCTCCGCGCAGGGCCCGGTTTCGGCCGCCCGGTCAGATGGACGAAGGGAGCTATTCGGACGGCCTCGCTCCGATCGAGGCCGCCTCGCATAGCTCACCCGTCGCTGGACCGGGGCCGGGCCGCGGTGAGAGCGGCGAACGGCGTCAGGCGCGGCGCGGGCAGCTATGGCGGCGGGCGGGGGGTCCTGAGGCGACCGTCTCCATGGCGACGGGCGTAAACAGGCGGCACCGCGGGGCATGGCGGCGAGGCGGACTGAGAGGCGGTGAGCGGCAGAGCGCGGCGATCCGACCTGCGGGGCATCTCCAGTACGTGGGGAGCTGAGAGCCCCGCGCTGTGCTGCCCAGGGAGCGGCGGGCGGGGATTGTATCGGCGCTGATACGTATCTCAAGGGAGGGAATCGGCTGGGTGCGGCCGGGCACCGACGTGAGTGTAGGTTCACTCATTGAAAGGCCTTTCTCCTACACCCACCTGCTTCTAGGAAAGCCTGGTCCTGGCTTTATTTTTTCCATGGTTTGCCAGTTCTGCTGGCCAGCACTATGGCCACCCCAGAGAAGCAGCTTCACGGGCATTTTTGGGACCCCAAGTCCCAGCTCCTGACTCAGACAGCACTGTTCCAGCTCTGTTTCGAACCTCACCTCTTCAGAAGATCAGCTCGCTCAGGTTTGCCCAGAAAAGGGCTCAGCTCGGCTGCTCTCACTGCCACAAGGAGCAAAGCACCCAATGTCACAGAATCACAGAATGACCCGGGTTGGAAGGGACCTCAAGGATCATGAGGCTCCAACCCCCCAGTGCCGTGCAGAGCCACCAACCTCCCCATTTCACAGCAGCCCAGGCTGCCCAGGGCCCCATCCAACCTGGCCTTGAACACCTCCAGGGATGGACGGGGCATCACAGCCTCTCTGGGCAGCTGTTCCAGCACCTCACCACTCTCATAGTACAGAACTTCCCCCTGACATCCAACCTCAGTCTCCCCTCCCTCAACTTCAAACCATTTCCCCTTGTTCTTCTGTTATCCGCCCTTTCAAAGAGTTGATTCCCCTTCTGTCTGTAGGCTCCCTTTAGGTACTGAAGGCTGCAATGAGGTCACCCTGCAGCTTCTCTTTTCCATGCTGAACAAGCCCAGCTCCCTCAGCCTGTCTTTGTACAGGAGGTGCTCCAGCCCCCTGATCATCTTTTTGCCCTCCTCTGGATTCTCTCCAACAGCTCCCTGTCTTTCTTGTACTGGGGGCTTCAGGCTGCAGCACACAGTGCTGCAGATGGGGCCTCACAAGGGCAGAGTAGAGAGGGACAATTGCCTCCCTGTCCCTGCTGGCCACCCCTCTGCTGATGGAGCCCAGGATTCCATTTGCTTTCTGCTGGCTCATGTTAAGCTTTTCATTCATCAGGATCCCCAGGTCCTTCTCCGCAGGGCTGCTCTCAAGGAGCTCCTTCCAGTCTGCATGGATGCCTGGGATTCCTCCGGCCCAAGTGCAGAACCTTGCACTTTGCTGTGTTGAACCTCATTAGGTTCACCCAGGCCCACTTTTCAAGGCTATTGAGGTCGCTCTGAATGGCATCCCATCCTTCCACTGTGTCAACTGCACCACTCAGCTTGGTGTCATCAGCAAACTTGCTGACTCAGTGTCATTGATAAAGATGTTAATGTCCTCCCTGGAGGTGTTCAAGGCCAGGTTGGATGGGGCCCTGGGCAGCCTGGGCTGCTATGAAATGTGGAGGTTGATGGCCCTGCGTGTGGCGGGGGGTTGGAGCTCCGTGATCCTCGAGGTCCCTTCCAACCTGGGCCATTCTATGATTCTGTTGTGCCAGTCCTGGTGCTCAGCTGTACCACAAATCTCCTCATTGCTCTGTCTCCATCACCCTGTTGGTTTTTTTCACCCATCAGGCACATCACAACTAGCTACTTTAGGTATGCATCACCCAGATTCACAACCTCCAACAGAATATTTAGTTAATTCTGTGGCTTTTGAAAAGTCTCTTCCCTGCTGTTGCACAGGACCTCTCCTGAATCTTCCTCGAAGATTACCAGGTGCCAAACACACATCTGCAGTGTGAAACCTACCCTGTCCAAGAAACAGAAGGCTCTGGTGAGTTCAGGTTTTGAGGGTGGAAGGAAGAGGAGTGGAATATAAACACTGTTCTTGGGCTGCGACAACTGCTGTGGATGTATATGCCAGATGCTAAAGCCAGATTTTGACACGCATAGTCCAAAATAAAGAAGAAAAAAAAGTTGTTTAGAGCATCTTCCAGCCTTCAGGAACGCCTGCTCCATAGTGTGTGTCAGTAGATAAAGTAGCGTGGTGAAAACTATATCCAAATTATGCATAAATAAGTACCAGAAAGGCACATAGCAACCAACTGATGAGTGGTTAAGGTCCACAAAAGTCACGTGTTTTGTTTCCGTTCGCATTTAGGTTGTATTTCTATCCCACCGTCCTCTCGGGCAGTCAGATTGACTGTGAGGCATTGTTGGGGATACTTCAGCCTCATTTTGGCTCTCTTTTGTGTTTGCACTGCTCTTCAAACATAATTCTTTCTCTCTCCAGTCTTTCCAGCTTTCTGTTAGAGGCCAATGGTCCATGTGGCCCGCATTTGCAGGCGGCCAGACAGTCCTAAGGAATCACAAACCCTGCAGTGCCCCAGAGGAGAGAACACCTGGGTAAGCTAAGCCACAGGACAGCTAGAAGCAGGGTTTGGAAACCAGGAATTTACAGAGCAGGATCTCTCCCAGCACTGAGAACAACGAGGTTGGCTTACCCCATAAAACTTGAGCATAATAAATAACATTATTGGTTCTGACTGGTAGCAATGGGCAGTAGGAACAAAACCCGAGTCCTTGAGCTGATGTCCATTCTCCTGTGTCTCTGCAGCAATGAACGGGCCCTTCTCACCATTCCAAAGCCACGTCACCTGGAACAACTGGAGTCTTACTTAAGGAAAGAGCTGCAGACTCTTGCCCTGACTAAAGGGATCTCCCAAGAACTGAAGCTGCAGGTCAGATCCAAGTTTCTGTTGACTTGGAACAACATACTGAGATGGGTTACTCAAACTGGTCATCCAGAGGAAAAAGTAGGTGGGAAAAGTAGGCAAATACAGTTTGTATTAGATAGCCTGGTTCACAGCTCACAATAGAGAACTTACTCAGAATGTCATTTGTTTGTATGTTGTGTTTATATGTTGTTGAGTAGTATGCTCCACAGCTTGTGTAACTTTCCATTTTCAAATCAAAGCCCAAGGCTTCAAAAAGACATGGTAAAATGAAGGGGGTGTGAAACTACTTACTCACTGAGCTCCCAAAGACTCCTGACTAAACCATAAAGCAAGGTGTAGGCTCCAAAATTTTCATTTCAAAAGCTTTCATTTGTGAAGTTCTTTGCTATGAGAGTGGTGAGGTGCTGGAACAGCTGCCCAGAGAGGCTGTGGATTCCCCGTCCATCCCTGGAGGTGTTCAAGGCAGGTTGGATGGGGCCCTGGGCAGCCTGGTGTAGCATTAAGTGTGGAGGTTGGTGGCCCTGCATGTGGCAGAGGGTTGGAGCTTTGTGATCCTTGAGGTCCCTTCCAACCCTGGCCATTCTATGATTCTATAATTACGTCTCTGCACATAACAAGAATGGGGCTCCTTGTCAAGCTTTTGCTTAACCAGGATCCCCAAAATTAAGTTTTTATCAGGCCTGCCCCTGGGGGTTTGTTGTGAACGTTTGAGAACACAGCTACTGAAGACACTGAAAACCACCACTTTAATTCAAAACACAATCAGAGCATTTATGCTGAGTGACACATTTGGATTAGAGTTTCTCTGCATGAATTCTAATTCCCAGAGGAATCCTGCAGTGATAAGAAAGGAATGTGGTAAATGGAAAAGAATGGAGGGAAACAACCACAGGATCTTTAGGACTGGAAAAGACCACTAGGATCATCAAGTCCAACTGTCAGTTAATCAACTGATTACTGATGGGTGATTAACAGCAAGAGAAAACAGAGGTTTCATGAATGTGTTATTCTTGGAAAGTACTTTTTTACTGGATGACACGACATGTTTAGTTGCATTCAATAGCGAGGTACGCTCAGTGAGAACATTACTATTGCTAGCAAAGCCTTCCCAGGCTCACATTCAACATGGCACTCTGACTGTCCCCACAAACAAGTTTTATTCTGCTGAGGATAGCACACGGGCTGTCCCATCAGGGCCCAACTATCTGAATTCTGAGAAATGAACAATAATGTTTTCTCAAGCTCTCTTTCCTCTCTCAGCCCTACAGAGAGATCTTTGAATTCTTCATAGATAACTTCAAGACCTACAAGCCCTTGCTGTCAGCTATAAAGAATGAGTATGAAGCCACATTGGGTAAGCTCTTGGACTTTGACCTCGAGGGGAAAACACTGATGGAGATGTAGTCTTACACAGCTAATTACATATTGGAGATATATATATATATATATATAGAATGAACATTCTAAATATTCACATAGAATAGTTCTCTTTGAGGGACATACAAACATGTCAAATGATAAAACTATCTTTCTGGTCTGTTTAATGAAGTCTTCCCACATGGGAGTCTACTTCCCTCATACATAGCAGGTGTTTATATATATATATTTATCAGACCTTTATTATTTAGATTGAAGGTTTTTCTGTAGTTATTTATCCTTATGATCTTCACCACACAGTTCAGGCAACATCCGTACCTCAGCTTTTCTGAAACCACCATGCTGATAGCAGAGTATATCACACTGATATATTTGGATGCACTTGCAGTGGTAACTTGAAGCTTGCATTACTCCTGAAGCAGGGCAGGGCAGAGAGCTGAACTGGCTGTTCCCTGTCCATTTGTGGTGTGCCTTTAAACCCCTCTTGGCTCTCAGATGCCACAGTGATAGCAGTGCTTTGTAAACAGTGCACTAGAAATAGCTTCTCACTGGGAACTCCTGTCACACTGAGCAGCCTACAGCTGTCAACACTTAACGGGACAGTTTCTCCAATAGAATGTGTCGTTTATCCCAGTAGCTGTTACCTGACTGCCTACTGATAGTCCCTCACTGTAGGCAGAGATCTTTGCACAGTGCAAGATCAATGAATCAATATTAATCGTTACATCAGAACATTTTACTAACAGTTTCCTTCTGGAACTCTTCAGAAGATATTCCTTCAGCTCCCAGGAGATTTCTAGTGTCAGTTCCATAGCCTGTATTGTGCTGAAGCTTACTTTTTAATTATTATTATCTTTCTTTAAGCATATTTTCTACTCGAGATGTTTTATTGACTCCTCCATGCCAAGTGGTCAGCAGCCAGTTGTGAAACACTCCACTGACACCTCAGAACATAGTGTTCTTTGTTCACACCAAGTGAGCTAGTGCTCTAATTTTTGCCATCTTCTGGGGAGCTGTCCTGGTACCAGTGTCATAGTGAAAGAGCTCAGAAAAACCTTTGGTACAGTTACAGCACAGGAAGGAAACTCACACCCAACTATAATAAGAAAAGTCATTCCTGTTTTTAGATTTTATGCATGCATTTTAGGTTTTAAAATACAGAGTCTGCTGCATGGTATTTGTACATGAATACTTATATTAGAGTTCTGGCAAAGAGGAAAATGTCTGCAAGTGACATTACTCAGTATCTGCCAGCATTTCTATCCTGTTCAGGAGAGAGAATGTATGCATTATTCAGCAAGGAAAACCTTTGCCACAGCCTCATTTGAATTACATCTTCTTGTGGTGGAATTTCATTTAGTCATAAAAGCAAGCTTCCACAACAAGGAGGTGGTGACAGGTGGAGTTCTGCCACGTGACTGGGATCTGGCACCCAAGCACTCACACCAATCCCCTCAGATAAGTGCCTTTAGGAAAAATAATCAATTCAGAGGGGAAATAGTTGAGAGTGAAAAGCACAGATGGCAGCAAAGCCAATATAACAGTGAGTTCTTTATTAGTTGTACTGATGAAAAAGAGAAATGAAGAGAGGGCAACACGTCCCTGAAAAGAGAAGAGAATGTGTAGACAAGTTTGTATGCAGGTGGCACAAGGCCTTGCATTTGGAGACAAGAAAGTCAATCTAAGTTTGTGAAGACCATGCCTTTACAAAGCCAGGTAAACCACTAATTAGCAGCTATCTTCAGCTCCGTATGCTGCCTGTGTTTAAATGATGACAACCTAGTGAAGCATGATGGCATCATCAGTGTTCATTGCCACAAAGCCTGAAATACTCAAGGAGACAAAATTCAAGTAAAATTCAGGTTTTGTTGCTCATTGTAAGAACTTACCTCTGCTCTCTTTAGCTCATCAGAAGGAGACAATCCGTGCCCTAGAGCCCTTGAAGGCCATGGTCACCACCGTGTCTGAGGAGTGCACCCAGCAGATATTAGCACTGCAGGAAAAGGAGAAAGTGGAAATAAATACTTTAAAGCAAGAGAAACATCATTTGTTAAAGTTTATTGACAACATGAAGGAAGAGAAGAGTTGTCTTCAGACTCAGGTAAATAAGGTTACAGGTCAAACTCCTCCCAGCTTCACCTGAACCCATCTGATCTCTTCCTCCCAGGTGCTCATCCTTTAGTGCCAGGAGAAGTACTGCAGCTGGTGGTGAGCAGCTGGCACTGTAGAAATGCTGGATCTCAAGAACATCCGTGTTCCCTTAGGGCTGGCTGTGCTGCTACCAGAAGCCTTGACTTGTAGCTGCTGTCCCAGACAACCAGCTTCTGCACAGACTGTAGACTCCACAGTCGTGGAGATAGCATTTGTTGAACCTTGGAGACTTGGGTTTCAGCACATAGATTGAAACACTCAAAAATATTTCTTCCCTTAGCATTTCTAGACTTTCCTTTGTTTCCTCCACTTGTTGGTATTTACAAGCCTCACATGGGGATAAACTGAACGATCTCTGAGGCAACTGAGAATTTACATTTAGTTTGCTTTTGGGGGGAAGGGGAGGCACACGTTTGCCTTCAGAGTTCTCACCTGAATCACAGGAGCTCTCCAAGGTGCCTGCTGTTTTTGGGGGGATGGAATTACAATAGAGAAACCTTGGAACTCGGCATGAACTGTATCTAATGCACTCTCTGAAAGGCAAAACACAGATAGAGCACTCTTCAGCAACCTTCTCCGGAGTCCAAACCTTTCTGGCATGTTTCTCCCTCACCATCCTTTCCTACAGTGTTATTTCTTGCCACTCTCCTGCTCCAGTTTTTATTTCCTACTTCATATCCCTTACCCCACACCTGCCCCATAGTCCTGCTCTAGGCTCACCACGCCACCCCAAGGCTTCCCACCGATGCTGATCAATTCCTGCAGGTGGAGCACCTGCAGATGAGTGTAGCTGAGGAGTACACACGCTACCTCCAAGAGTACGGCGCCCGCAAACTGCTTGTAGCAAAACTGAATGAGATGCACAACGAGCAGCTGGATGTGAAACAGCACCAGGTCCAAGGTGGTAAGTAGATCTCTGTAGGAATCTGTCCTGCCCAGAGGCCCATTGCACACCCATGGTGCAGCATTAAGCGTCTCCAAAATACCATCAGATATGATCTGACTCTTAAAATAAGCTAAATTAGTGAACAAAATATCCATAAGCACATAGGGAAGGGATTAGGAGGGGACGTGGGTGGACAGTTGGGCTAGATGATCTTCGTGGTCTTTTCCAACCATAACGCTTGTTGTTTAAAGGTGAAAAGGGTGAAGACGTGGTGAAGCTCACTCTGGCACTGAAGATGGCTCGGCAGGATCTCACAAAAGCCCAAGTGAAGCTGAATGCAATGACAGCAGAGTACGGAGACGTTGTGCCTAGGAGAGATTTTGAATCACTGGAGAAGAAATACTCTGACTTACTTCAGGAGGTCAGCACAAGCTCCAAATTTTTGAGCTGTATCACATGAGTGCAAAGATAATGGGATGTATCAGTATTCAGGTTAGGGTAGGGACTCTGTACACACAGCTCACATACAGGCTTTTGAACTATGTTTGTCTGACATTCATTGCACAGTTTTGTCCAAAGCACAGCAAACTGAAACTACTGCTGAACCGGGCTGCTAACAGCTACCTGCCTTGCTGGATTTTGCTTTCTCCAATAGCATTTCATGGCTGCAATTCCAGGCCATTGACTCCACCACCAGGCAGGTCAATGTATTTTCCAGCTGTGATAGAACCAGAGGAGGTTCCTCGAGCTAGGGAAACCTGTCCATGATAGAAGCCGTCCCTCCAGCTCCAAGCTCTCCCAAGGAGAACCTGTTGTGTCTGATGATAAGGATGGCTTTGAGTTGTGCAAGGCCTCCTCAGCAGTATCTTAGCATTCCACCAGAGAAATGCACTGAACCAGGCCAAGACCCTGTAATTCTTCTCTCTCCGCTCCTCACCACCCTCACTGTAAATGACTTTTTCCTTATATCCAACCTAAATCTGCTATCTTTGTGTTTGAAACCATTTCCCCTTGTCCCGTCAACACAGACCCTGCTAAAGATTCTGTCCACTTCTTTCCTGTAGCTCCCCTTCAGATACTGAAAGGCCACTCGCGGGTCTTCCTGGAGCCCTCTCTGCTCCAGGCTGCACAGCCCCAGCTCTCAGCCTGTCCTTGCAGGAAGGTGTTCCATCCCTTGGATCATTTTTGTGGCCCTCCTCTGGATACACTCCAACAGGTCTATGTCTCTCCTGTACTGAGGACTCCACATCTTTGCAGATGTTCTTGCAGCCGAACAAGAATAAATTATATGAAAAGGAAACGTGTTCTAAATAAAGATGAATGGATCTGAAGGAAACGCACATAACATTTCTAGAACAAAAAAACAAAACAAAACCACCTCTCCCATTCTCTCCTAGTGCATTAAAGTCTGTTTTGAAACAAAAAACACAGCATAAGAAACATCACTGATATATTCTATTTGAAGTTTCTGGAAATGATAACAAGAAAAAGTAATGAATTGTTTATTTTTCATCCAATCTAAAGGCAGTTAACCAAGTTAACTCTCCGTATATCTATGTGCTGAACTGAATGCTCACCTGAACTGTCAGACAACAGAAAATCTCCATTGCTGTGGTTGGTTACAGCCCTCCTTTCTGTATGCTTTAGATGAAGACTCTGAGGAAGGATTTTGAGCAGCTCCACGAGGAGTATGGAACACTGCTGGAAATCCACAGAGAGACTGCAGAAGAGCGAGACAGCTTCTACAGCCAACTGCAAGAAGCTGAACGCAGCCACACGCCCCGGCCCAACTGGGCAAAGTGTTCAGGTGCCGCCTGCACTCAGCACTCATTTGCTTGCAGACTAGATGTCTATAGAGCTGTATTCATTGCAAGGCTCCTACTGGGCTCACACAAAACCAGCACTCACGGGAAAAACGCCCCTCTGTGAACAGCTCAGCATCTTTTTGTTGTTGCAGAAGTGATTCCTGGTGGAGTGGAGCGGTGGGGCCGTCTGGCCGAGGGGAAGAGCAGCAATCAGCTGGTGGATGTGCTTCTGGAGGAAATAGGAACAGCAGTGCTAAAAGAGATGAATGTCTTCCACGGATGGGTACGCGCATGCTTTCTCCTCTGTTTGTTTCCACTGAGCTTCATTGGTAGTAAATATCCATTCAGAAGGTGGGGAGATTGCGTTCACGGTTGGACTCAGCGTATTCGGCGCCCACCATCAGCATAACCACTGAAAATTTTAGAGCTGGGGAAACTCGGATGCAAGAGAAAAGCTGAACCTGAGGGTAAGCATATCGAGGACAGCTGAAGTATAGAAGCATAGAATCATTAAGATTGGAAAAGACAACTGCTGAGATGAGCTTAGCCGAGCACCAGAATGACTAAGAGTGCATAGCAGGAGTGCACTGTGGGGAACGACTCCTTCCCACGGCATCAGGAGGTAATTCAAACCACACCACCCCATTGCACTGCACCCTGACAAGCAGGAGAGGCAGGAAATGATACAGGGACAAGGCAGCGTTACAAGAGATCTTCACCTCATAACGTATCCAAACATTTTCTCAGGGGCAGAGTAAGACTTCCTTGGTCCTTCCACGTCTCTCCCTAAGAAATTCACCAAAACGTTGCTCCAGTGCTGCACTGATGCCAGCGAGGGGAAGGCCTCATCTGTTTCTCTTCTATTTCCTAGGGCAAAGGTGACAAGGTTCCTGTGTACCTGAGGTATGAAGGTGAAGTCAAGAACAAAAAGCCAACTAAGAAGGATGTGGTGAACATCCTGAAGGACATCTGGAAAGAGAAAATTGCACTAGATCAGCAGGTTTGTCATTTTCCTTCTCTAAAGCCCTGAGCTAAATCAACCACACTCGTGAATCTGAGACCTTAGCTAGAATGACTGCTGCTATTCTGGGATGTTCTGGTGCACTGTACACCAGGATGCCATCACAACTATGTAGCATCTGTTCTTAGGTTTGGAAGCCCTGGCAATATCTGTGCCACCAAAGCATGGTCAATTGTTTGGGTTTTTTTGTTTTGTTTTTCTGGACTGATTTTAACCCATGCCAATCCACTATGAAAGTCCAGAGGAACAAGCGGTACCACAAGAAATGAAGATGAGCAACAGAAAAGGAGGAACAGAAAAAAAAGTCACTTATGAAGCAAATTAGCATAAAAGTGCTTTGGTTTTGTCACACAAAAAAAGCAGACAATTTCCCCTTTTTGTCCAGGGTGGGTTGGGAGTGGAGGGTGGAGGCTAATGAGCCTGTGTTCGAACCTTCCCATGTTAGGGACGTGTATAATGCCCTGTTATCATGCCTCAGACACAAGAGCAACCTTTACAGAGGCAGAATCACTTCACAGATTTCTTCACTTGAGCTAGAAGCCTAAAAACATCCCTTAGGTCAGCCCTAAACAGTTTAGTGTTTCCTATGGCTGCTTTTTACTTTCAGATTAGATTCCTGGGGAAGCAGGGCTGCTGCAATCATTGTCTGTCTTCAGGTCTCTGCAGTAACTACTCCTCGTTGTCTGAACCCATGAACAAAGCTTAGCTAAATCAGACAGAGGGGAAGCACCTCACAGGTATTAAGTTCCTAAGTATTTCACAAAAAGGGCTAGGAGAAAAGAGATGTTTTGTGGACTCAGCAACAGGAGAGCTTCCTCATAGACCTACCTTTTAGATTGTACTGACTAAACCTGGAAGAAAGGCTTGGAATGACCAAATAGCAGGGAAGGCTCCAGCCAGCACCTGTCCTGCCGGAAGACACATCTGTATGCAAACAGCTGCAGTCAGACTGGCAGATTTGATTTAGTTCTGCTCATGCACGATGCTCACTTGTTATCTGCAGACAGGAAAGTGTTCCAGTCTTCCTGAGTTCTTTCTCAGCTACCTCCAGAAGAAGTATGGAGATGCCTCTGCTATGGAATGGTCTTACAGTCTGTATGAGTACATGAGACTCTGCCCCTCAAACCACATCATGAGCTCGTTCTATGAGATACTCACTGGAAAGGTAGGCAACCCATGCCCCTGTGCTGCACCCAGACATTGCTGGTAGTACAAACAAGAAGGCAGGGAAGCATTCTGCAAGGCAGCTTCACTTCACTGCCTGTTCAAAGAAACATTAAGGTTGGAAAAGGCCTCTAAAATCAAGCCCATCCCCACCATGCCCACTGACCACATCCCTCAGTGCCACATCTCCACAGTTCTTGGCCACCTCCAAGGACAGTGACTCCACCACCTCCCTGGGCAGCCTGTCCCAATATACTGCCACTATTTTTATTAATATCCAACCTAAACCTCCCTGGCACAACTTAAGGCCATTCTCTCTTATGTTATCACTATTTCCTGGGAGAAAAAGGCCAACCTCCAAGACACATGACAGTGAACAACTTTCTCCAAAGCAGTTTGCTTAAAGAGGAACTGTTGTGAACAGCCACCCTGCAAGCCATGGTGTTGCTTGACAATTTATAAATCACTAAAAGCAGCTCAGGTAAAAGTTGATTTAGAAGTGAGCGCAATCCTTTTGCAGTTTTGCTTCCCTCTTGAATGCAACCCAAGGGCCAACAGATAAGTCAGTTCCTGACCTGTGAACCTTCCCTGTTCCACAGGTAGCTGAAGAGCAATATCACGACCAGAATCAGCTGATTTCTGACCTGCAGAAGCAGCTGGCTGCCTGTGACAGCTCCAGCAATGGGTCCCTGCCCAGCAAGCAGTTCAGGCAAGAGCCAAGCACCACACACTGAGCTCCGCATGCTGGGATAAGCCAAGTCTGTCTGCTTCACTTATATCTGTCAGCACAGCCCAGGGAACAGTTTTCCTCTCTTAAATTCTTGTGAGGACAGCCATAGCAAGCGTCTACTTGTAAAACTCAGCATAAGGTTTTAGAATTATGTGAGAACTGCAGGTTTTGATTAGCAAAACTGGGAAACCTGTGAAGAGATACAGGGCACTGGGGCACTGCACACACGTAGTGGGATGAGGCAGCATCTGCACCCAGCCCCATTCCCCAGGGAAGAGACAGAGGATCTGCTGCAGTGCTCCCTCCTGCTCCTAGCATGGGTCACAAAGCATTTCTGTGAGTTTTGCCCCAGGTGCAGGATTTGTCAATTGGATTTGTCAATCACCTGTGCTTTCATAAACTGTACTCACTAGAGACAGCATTTCTTGGGGCTATGGCACAGAATTAAGGCAAGGGCCATCTCCAACACACAGCTGGGAACACGGCTCTGGTGCAGACGTGCCAGCTCCCAGCTAACCAACACCATGCTGTGTTCAGAACTTCCCAAATGGTTCAGCATCAACGTCCACCTGAAATCACCACCCTTGCTTTGTTACCTGAAGGTGCATGCACTTCCTTGACACGTGTATCCTCTCTGAGGGCAATGAAGTTTTGAAGATGTAGCTCACGGTGTACATGCACACTCTGCTAGCTTAAAATGCTGCCGTCCATACCAGCACTCATTAACTGCTCACATGCTGTTGCCTGTCTCCAAGCAGAATGGCTCTGAGGGAGGCTTTTCCTCTGAAAAGAAGAGATGCAATCCAAGAGCTGGTTGATGCAAGCAGGTTTAATCTGGACAGTGATGAAGACCTCATTGACTACACATCCTTATTCGAAGAAGTAAGTTCACATAAGTTTTCTTTTTGACTTAGGTTTAAGCAAAATACTTGAATTAGGCTGGTCAGACTGCTTATCCAACTACTACAGCTGCACTGCACACCACAGGCTCTGAAAACCATCTGCAGATCTCTGCAATGCAAGCTTTTGCTTTTTTCTGTGAAAGAGTTTTTCCCAATTTTATTCTCACTTTTCATATAGAAATTCCATTTCTATGAGAGCTATTTTAACATACAGTGGGGAATGACTCTTACTGGGATGGAGGAACACGTGATCCGTGCTCTAAATTCTTTCAGGATGAAGAGGGGAACCCTGAACCTTTTGTTGCAAAGCTCAGGAGCCAGTATGTCAGTGAGAAGCAGGAGTACCTGCAAGAGCTGAAGAACAGCCTGGGAGATGTAACGTACGTACAAAGGAGTGGGCTGATGGGGGTGGGGGCAGTGGATCAGAATCCCCCCATGGACACAGGAGCACATTGCTCCTGTGCAGGGACTCAGATTTGAATACCTGCTGTACCATACATTTGGGTCTTTTCATTGCCTACTTCCTCACCCTGCAGTGAGCTGTGCCTTTCTTCCTGTCACCCCTCCAACCTCACTGTGCCCATGTGCTGGGGCTGGATTTGAACTGCTCCTGGGCTTGCAGGGACCTGACAAAGATGCTCAAGCAGTGCAGAGGATGAGCTCCCTAAGAACAACCTTAGTGTGGAGAGAGGCAAGAAAGAAGGAGGACCCTGGGAGCCACCAGGGCACTGGGCTTAGGCTGAGCACCTATGCTACACGAGGTGTGCTGCTCAAGTCTGAGCTAAGCAAGGGAAACTGTGGTCAGTCAGGAGTCTTGCATGACAGCCAGGGAAAACAGAGAATAAGTGAGATCAACACACACAGGACAGGCAGAAAGCTTCTGGAATGACCATTGGCCAAGCCCCCTGCAGGGGTCAAGAAAAGAGCTGCAGGTGCACTGGGAGCCAAAATGGTAGAGAGAAAAGAGAAGGCTGTGCTGGGAGTATTTAGACAAGGAGGAACATTTGGGGACACGGGCTGGAGGTGCTGGCAAGCAGCAGCAGCGAGTGGCTACAGAGAAGGGGAGGTAACAAGTCAGGGATTACTAGCTTTTACCAAGGAAAAACAGCATGAGACGAGGCATGGAGAGGTCAGCGTGGGAACTGGAGATGCAAAGGGTACCTAGGACTTGCTGAGGAAGCCAGGGTCAGATTGAGAAACCTCCTAACTAGTGAACAGGCTCACCTGGAACAGCAACAAATGGGCACAAGGTAAAGAGGCAGAACAAACAACCTGTAAGGGTTATGGCAAGCAGTGAGTGGAGAAAGTTGGCTGTACTGGTAATAATCCCCTTCAGTACTTGAAGTTAATCTCGACATCCCTCAGCTCTCTAAAAACAGTAGCAAAGTCCTGTATATACTCAGATTAGTTCTGAGGAGTGAGAGAAGCAAACCGGACTGGCAGCTGCAAACTTGAAGGCAAAAGTCTGAGAAATAATCCCACCTCAAATCAAGACAACCAGGATGGAGCAACTGCATAGAAAAGAAGCCTTGTGCCAGGCACCAAGCAATGAGGGAAACAGTAAAGGTGGGCTGGATGCACAGCAAGTTTGATGCTGTCTTTTACAGGCACTGAATTAGCAAGGAAAAGCATAGTTATATAACAAAGGGTAAAAAAAATGCTTAACAGAGGAAAATTAAAGTCTTCCCAGGTGATCACAAACTAACTCTCCCTAATTTCTTTTCAGTTTGATTTAATAATTTATTACATGCATATTAAAAACTCCCACCATTGATAACATTGACCAAACGTGCATTTTGAGCAACACAGATTTTCATTGTGGTACAAATGCTTGGGCATTCCTATCCTATACCATAGCAGTGCAAGTGACTGAATTGTTTTTTCAAGCAGAGAAGTGGATGCAGATGATCTGAAGGCAGCTTTCTGCAGGATTGATCCCAAGATCAATGATCAGATGCTAGATGCCTACATTAGCCTGGCTTACCAGGTCAAAAGAGAACAGCCTGACCAAGAAGTTGTGCCTGTGGACACCGTGCTGGAGAGACTCCGTGTTGGAGATGTGAGACGAGTAGGGCCCTCACCCAGGAAAGAAAGCACAACAGACTCTGAAGGAGAGTAAGGAAGCTTCCCACGTTAAGAATAAAAAGCCTGTTTGATCTGCAGTTTTGGATACAGAGCTGAGTACACTAAATACCACTTTTCATGCATGTAGAGACAAACCCAGTCACTAACTGTTGAGAGGATAGGCTAGTTTGAACTGTCCTGGAAAAACAGATTGCATTTGTGAACTGGAGAGACATCATAGCCCACATGACAGAATAAGAACCATCAGGTGTATGAAGCCCCTGCAATTTCTGCCTTGATTACTGAAATTGGTGCTGCCTACCTCCAGCATAAGTTGCTAAGTGTCAGGAAAGGAAATACAAAAGCACTGAAAAAGGAGATGCATCATCTAACTAGGAATCAGGTGTCCTAACTGCACGTATCTCTGGGAGAAGTTCTGAAAACAGAAGATTTAACACAGCAAAATTCAGAATAGCTGGAAAGAAGAGGGCATTAAAACACAGAAGATATGTTTGGTAGATGAACTTCAGATTTGCAAAGCTCTCCAGGAGAGAGCATCTAATGGAAAGGCAAGGAAAGCACTGCACTACCAAAAGCAGGATTCACTTGTTTTGCTTCACCCTGAGCAATATAGATTCCAAAAAGTTAAATGCATTGCCCTGTAAGCAGCAGTTCTTTCTTTCACCCTTCCAGTTTCATTGGTAGGACTTGAAAGATAGCAATCTATCCCTCCAAGCCTTCAGTTTAGTTTACTAGAGCAACTAGAACACCTCTCAACAGAAGAGAGAATGGATAAGAAATCCTACCTTGTCCTCCCTCAGCAGGAACAAGGAGGCTCTCTAGTCTCTCTTGAAGTGCTCTTAGAAAGAGGATTCTCACAGCACTTCAGCAGAAAGAAGCTGGAAGCTCTGTTATTACTTCAGACCAAAATTTTCAAACCCTGGCATACAAAGATGTGAGGGTGCACTAAAAAAACTGCATAAAACAGCATAAAACATTTTTAAAAGGACAAATACTATGTCAGTTAACAAAGCTGTTTCCTTTTAAATACTGGAGAGGAAAAAAAGCCCATAATAATGGAATTACTTTTTTTGAACTTGAAAATGACTGACCTTTGTATTGGCAACTGCCTGTCAAAATAACTCACTCACTGGCCTTCATTTCCTAGCGTTGTGCAGAATTGGTTTAACTTGTAAGCACTGCTGCCAAAAGCCATGTATGATTTCCAGGAGTCCTCATTAACTGCACCATTTCAGACCTTTGGGAAGCTACACTGTACTTTTCAGTAAGGAACTCTTCCTCACAGATCCAAGAATACAGAAAACTGTATTTTGTGGCTTTAGAACATTCCTAAACTGCAAAGAAGAAAAAAGAAAAAGCAGTTACTCCACTCCTTTAGTCTGCAGTTTTCTTTCTTTAGTTTGGCTGAGCTGTGGCTGACCCCAGCTGGAAGCACCAGCCCTGTTCTGCCCCATTCTGACTCGAGGGGACTGCAAAGTAGCAGCCCTGAGCCACCCCTTCTCCACAGACTAATTAATCAGTTTAAAGACTTTTTTTTTTTTTTAATTAATCTAAAAGCCCCAGTTTCTTAAATTTAAGACAGCAGCTAAAAATCAGAGATAGTGGAGGAGGAAGGAACAGATTTTTTCTTTCCCTGAAAATAAGCAAGCACTTCAATTGCCTTACCTTGGGAACTGCAAACTGGCTAAGTGGAAAGGAAGCATGGTAGCATGTCAGACTGGGAAACACAGAACAGCATTACAGATGAATGATATCCAAGGAAAAGTTTTATGTCTGTTCTTCTGAAAACTATGTCATCCTTCCCCAGCTGGTGAACTGTTTTAGAAAGCCATCATTCTTTGCTCCTTACAAACCCTCTGACGTGGCTGACCTTGCTCCTGGTGCAGCTTAGGCTCACTGTAAGCAGTAAAACCACAGACAAGCATTTCACTCATTCTCTCCCTTACCTGAAGGGCACAAGGGTTTATTTGGCACCACGGTTGGCATCAGGAAACACCTGCAGAAGTGCAGCCCTCATCTCTGAGCATGTGTTTTAGAAATAAAGGGAGGGCCCAAACACAAAGCATGGTGTGTTATTATTAGCTCTATCTCAGCCAGCCACCACCTCACTCCCACTCTTTGAAAGGAAAAGACCAGGGTAAAGATCACACACAACTTACCATCAGGGGCAAAACAGCCTAGACTTGGGGAAAATTATTGACAATTACTTGAGAGGTAAGAAACAAAACTGAAAGACACCTTTCTCCCATTCTCCTCTTCTTCCAAAGCTCTAAGTCACTCCTTCATTCTCAAACTCTCCTACTCCCTTCCCACTCCATACAGCACAGGAAGGTGGGGAACACAGGCTGCCATCAGCCTCTAACACTTCATCTCTTCTGCTCCTTCCTCCCTACTCTGCCCAGTGATGTTGTGCTCCATGTGGTGCCCTTGGGCTGCAGGGGGACAGCCTGCTCCACCATGGGCCTCTCCTGAGCTGTAGGGAACTTCCACTCTGCTCCCGGAGCAACTCTTGCCCTCCTTCTGCACTGCCCTTGGGGTCTGCAGGATTGTCTCTCTCACATTTTCCTCATCACTCCCTCACACACCTGCTGTGCAGCACTTTTTACCATTTCTTATGTTAGCACTGATGTGCGTTGCAGAAGGGTTCCAATTTAGCCAGTGGTGGCTCTATTTCATAACTGGCCAGAACAGGCTGTCTGACACAAGGGTACCCCTACAGTGCTCATGTTACCAAAACTTTGCCACATAAACCAAATTTACACAATTAAGTTCATTTACCACATCTGAGCTAGAAAATTTAACCTCTCAGATGGTCTTCAATTACTGCTTGTTAACTCCCCATCAGCTGTTGCCAAAGATAAACTATGAGCTGCTCTTGACATCGTAGACCAGGTTTGCAAAGTAGGACAAGATCCCAAGCTTCAAAGTCCCTGATCTAGAAAAAAAATACACAGCTGTAAACAAGGATCATCTTCTTCTCAGAAGGCAGTCCATAACTGCTCATTTGAGCACGCAAATGGTTAGCATGAAGAGCACCAGCACAAGTGCCTATAAGGAACATTCTGAAAATGCAGCAGACGTATGGTAACCTTTCAGCTCACCAGAATAAGCAACATTTGTATTGTGCAGAATACACATCATTTTATTTTACAGAGCTGTAAAAGTATTTAAAGATACAAGAATAATAATTGATGGTGAGATCCAGCAGGCTGGCACGATGGCCACAGCACAACCTGAATCAATTCAAGCCCGTGCTGACTGCATATTGCCCCAGCAGCTGCAAGTGGAAAACCATCACATGGAACCACCTATGGCCTGCTTGCAGCAGTCAGCTGTGTTTCCACCCCTAGGACATGCCCACTGCCAGAGGGGCACTTTCACTTGTAGGGAATCACTTTATTCCCACTCACAGCAACGGGAATCAGCAGCTTCCTGTACTCCAGAGGGAGGTGACGCTCCACCAGCACGTGCAATGGCATCTTGTCTGTCACCAGCCCTTGCCTTTGTTCAGAAAAAAAAGAGGAGAAAAGAAACAGAATAGTTAGTGGAAAGAGTTTCCAATAAACTTAATATCAAAGTTTCTGAAGTTTTCTTGCAGTGGCATTTTAGCATTTAACTCCTGAAACACACAGGCTGTGGCTGTTTGCAACAGGAAAGTCATCTCCCTTTATTTGCACACAACTTCCCCACGTGTTCAGTCCCATCTATGGTGCAGCCCCCCACAGAGATACATGTTTTCCACAGTGAAAGTCAGCACACTGAGCCATGCCAAAGCAGTGCATTCCTTTTTAAATTCACAGTCCATGTGACATGGGATAAGTTTTACCATTTAAGGACATGCACAGAATGATGCAGTGGAAGCAAACATCCCATTGTCCAGTAGACTTTTTTTTTTACATGCCATTCACAACTCAGAGGTGGTTGGCATTTTAAAGCTGTGTAGACAGTGTTGTTTTCTAGTAACACCATTTAGCTGACTGGCCTGAAAAAAAAAAAAATCATTATCTCCCAGTCTCACAGAGAGAAACAGCAGCCTTTATGCATGCTTTCTTTGCAGGAAGAGCAGAAATGCTGTTCTTATTTGTCGACTGGTAACAACTCCAAATCTCTTTAGGAGGTAGTGGAAAAGCATAAAGACGTTGGGAAAAAGGTAGAACAAGCATGCAGAATCCTCAAACCTGGCCAACTAAGTCGTCATGTTTCTTGACCTGCTTTATTAATATCAATACAGCTGTCAGCTGGGAAAATGAATTCTCTAGACAGCAAGAGATTAATTCTTTCTAAGCAGCAGCACCAGCTCCTGGTACTCAAGCCCACACAAAACCATTTACTTTAATCCCTCAAATAACTTGAACATAGCATCTGAAGGAAACTCTTCCAGGGGAAACTAGAATAACAACTTCCTTGACTTCAAATAAGGAGTGGGAAATGCTTCAGGCTTCCAACCCAAGAACAAAACCCTTGTATTTTGGTCGCAGGACAATGTAAATCCAGTCATAAGATGGGGGAGTTGAGGGAGCCCAAAGGGAAGAGCTGCACTGAAGAGGCTCTGAGAACATCCCATGCAGGATGCAGGCCCTCTGTGAGGTCTTGCAGCAGGAAGAAGAGGAACGCTGCTATCAGGAGAAGCCAGGCCAGAGAATCTTATTCCTGCTTTGGCAAGGAACAGCCAGTTTGAACTCTATCAGATTTGTTTGGAGGACAGTAATGTGAGTGCTTGCAGTCCCCATTTCAGTCGCAAGTGCTCTCAGGGATGCAAACAGCCTAGCCTTGCTTACTGTAGCTCACCTGCGTTTTCTACGCACACCTTTCATGTCCCAGCCCTTTCTGCTTCAGCCTTGCACACATTCCCCTCCTCTTGCTACCTGTTTCTCAGACTCCTCCTTCATTCCCAACCCTCAACACTTCTTCCTGCCCTCTACCACACTAGCCCTAGAGTATAGAAATTCATGTCCACAAATGTCTTTTTTTTAGGACAAAAAGCCAAGCTGCATCACACAGAACAAGTCACAAGTTACCATGCTCACAGTGGAAACACTGCCAGTGTGCATACCCAGGCAGTGACAGTCTTACCAGGCTATCAGTGCAACACAGACCACCACAACAGGTTAATAATACCTTTCCTTTACCTTCTCAAGAGGAGTTCCACGTCAGCCATCTCCACTGTTCTCCTCCCTGCATGCTGGCTGTAAGCTTCCAGATCACTGCTGATCTGCTTGAAGTATCTCTCAGAGCTGTAGAAGAATTAAAGAAAGAAATAAAAAAAATAAAATAATCAGGCTGTGGGGTGTACTAACACCAAATGCTCGCCCACTTCTGTTGGGTAAGTTGTACTGCAGCTGCTCTCTGTGCAGGTCACAGCCTGCCAGAGAAATATGTGGGAGAAGAAACACGACAGTCCTGGGAATGAAGCACTGCCTCTCAGCCTCGGCCTTCTGGACCATCACCCAGTAATTCTGGATGTGCCAAGATAGCTGTGAAACAGCTGCACATTTGACAAGCAGAACCCTTCCCAGACCTCCCACACAGGCAAGAACAGGAATTAACTGATAGTCTCATCTTTAACATGGATTTATTAGGCTCTTATGGGGTACAGTGTTGGAACAATCCCCAGATTTTACTCAGGAAGCTAATTTCTAGATTCCAGTAGCTGAGAAACCCTGGAGCTGTAATAGTGCACAGCAGGAACAGCTTCACCTTGCTCAGCCTGATCCTCCAGAGCCATCCTGCTCAGACTGCCAGTGATATCAGTGTGCTGTTAGCTAAAGCACTGCACGGTGCACTTGGTCCCAGCTGAGACAAATGTCAGAAGTTGCTGCAAGGCAGCATCATTCACTGATAGCCACGCAGCAGCCAAAAGCACCTAGCACATTTCTGTTCTCATTTTCATCACACCTCCTGCAGATTTCCCACCAGCTGAGTAGCGAAGGGCTGAGGGAGAGCCGTCAACTTGTCAGCAGGTCTCTGGAAGAATCTGCAGTTACAGAAGGAAAAAAAAAAGGGAGGGAAAAGAAGAGGAGGAGGAGAGCAGTTTGCTGCTGCTTACCATTTTTCAACAATTTTATAGGCATCTCTGGTCACTGGCATTCTCACGTAATGGCTAAATATCTGCTTTATCAGCCTGCTTGCTATTTCAGGCTCACGTGTTTTCCTCTGTGCTGCTCCTGAGCTCTTTGGAACTGGCTTTGGAGCCCGCAGTGGCTGCGGGGGCAACCTTAGAGAGAAATTGAAGATTCACACATCATCAAGTGAACATACAGGCAGTAGGAAGAGAACTAAGCTCAGGCAAGACTTATGCTGAATTTGAAGATGTTAAGAACTACCACTTCTTTCTCCCTCAACTGCCGAAATCTCTCATGCCCACGAAGTACAGATTTTGCAAACCATCCATGTGGCATTCCAGCCTTGGGAGAAGTAATTCAGGCTCAAGTTTTCTGAGACAAGGGTGCTAACGCAGCAAAAGCCAGCACGCTATAGTTCACTCTAATATATAAATGCTACACATAAGTGCTAAATCTGTGCTACAGCTCTCTGTAGTTTTCACTTCCCAGAAGTGGACAAAGTTTGAGGTATCCCTAGGCCATCTCCATATCTGGAGACAGGAGAGTCTGGTCTGTAAGATACAATCCACCATTCCTGGCAGCTGACAACACTTACCAGGAGTTTCTCCTTTGACAGTCACCTTCCATGAAAAACATGCTCAGAAAAACTTTACATTATTAGAAATGTTTTGTTTAGCCTTTTGCATTCTTCCTCCCTCAGGCTTTTTTTTTTTTCAAGTCCTAAATGAAACTACTATTGTTCTCCTATCTAAAATGAAGATCTGCAACACAGAAAGGGGAAGCAAAGTCCCCAGATTCACTCAGTAGACAAGTAAGAAACAACAGAGAAGACTTGTATCTCAGACCAACACATACAAAACCCAAACAACACACGTTAGATAGCTAACAAGCAGCACCCTGAGCTCTCTGCTCTTGCCACTTGTCTTTCCCAGGCACACTTCCATCAGATCACTGCTGAAGGCTGTTTACACTTACTCAGGAGCAGCAGATTTTACAGGCCGTGGAGGCGACAGCAACGACAGCACAGGATGCAGTCTGTGGTCTGCAGCACGGACAAACATGGGT